GCCCAATTCATAATTGCTAAGTCATGGAAGAAGCCCAAGTGCCCATCAAGACATGAATGGATTAATAAATTGTGGTGTATGTACACCACAGAATATTATGCAACCTTAAAAAAAGATACTTTCTCTCTTTCATATTTACATGGATGGAGCTGGAACATATTCTTCTTGGCAAAGTATCTCAAGAATGGAAGAAAAAGTATCCAATGTACTCAGCCCTACTATGAAACCAATTTATAGCTTTCATATGAAAGCTATAACTGAACTATAGCCCAAGAAGAAGGGGAAAGAGGAGAGGGAGGGGAGGGAGGAACATGGGTGGAGGGAGGATAATCGATGGGACTATATCTATGGTGCATTTTACAAGGGTACGTGTTAAATTTACTAAGTGTAGAGTATAAATGTCTTAACACAATAATTAAGAAAATGCAGTGATGGCTATGTTAACCAGTTTGATGAAAATATTTCAAATGGTACATAAACCCAGCACCTTGTACCCCATGATTACATTAAGGTACACAGCTATGATTTAATTAAAAAAAGAAAAAGAAATGAAAAAACCTAAAACCAGAACTGCTATGTAATCCAGAAATCCCATATAGGGTATTTATCCAATTGAAATGATATCATTATATCAAAGAGTTACTTTCATGGTCATTAATTGTAGCACTAATCACAAGACAAGATAACCAATCAACTTAAATGTCCATCAACAGACAATTCATAATTCATGTGGTACATGTATAGAATGGAACAATTTTCAGTTATGAAAAAGAATGAAAACTTGCCATCTATAGCAACATGAATGAGTCTGGAGGACACTGTAAAGCAAACTAGGTCAGGCACAGAAAGATAAATAATATATATTTTCATTCATATCTTAGAACTAAAAATAAAAAATTGATGTCATGAAAGTAGAAGGTAGAATTATGGGGATTAGAGGCTGGGAAAGGTAGTCGGGAGGGGAGGAGAGGTTGGTTAATGGGTACAAAATTAATAGCTAGCCAGGAGGAATGAGTCCTGATGTTCCACAGCAGTGTTCAGTGAATATAATTAACTATAATGTACTGTATATTCTCAAAAAGCTAAAGAGATTATTTTGAATGTTCACAACAGAAAAGAAATGATAAATGTTTGAGGTGATGGACATGCTAATTAGCCTGATTTGACCATTACACATCATATGCCTACATCAAACTATCACTATGCATTCCATGAGGATGTATAATTATATGTGTCAACTAAAATCAAAGGGAAAAAAATCATTCATCTCATCAAATAATGGAATATGGGCCAATCTTAGTGACTTGCGTCTAATGAACACAATGTGGTAAAAGTGATACTATGTGACTTCCAGCATCGGGTTAAAGAAGCTTCTCTATCTCAGACTACTTGCCCTGGGAACCTGAACCCTTGTATTGAGGACATTCAAGCCACAGTGTGAACCTAGGTGTTCCAGGGTAGGGGTTTGGGTTGCCCGTCTCAACCGAAGTTCCAGCCAGTGGCCAGCATCAACAGTGAGACATGTTAGTGGGCAAAGCTTCCTAACACTCCAGTCCCCCAGCCTTTGAGCTGTCTGCAGAGAAGCTGAGGGAAACAGAGATGGGCTGTCCTGGCCACACTTTCTCCAAACCACAGATTCATGAACAAAATAAATGTTGTCTTAAGCTACCAAATTTTGGGTAATTTGTTAGGGGAAAGTACACAGAAAAATGAATTTAAAAAGAGAGATAACAAGAAACAATTTATTAATGGAGAGAAATTGGTCTCCTTTAAAATAGGATTTAATAAACATTGAAAATTTATTAATAACAAATGCTAATGAGAAGCAGCAGATGACTAGAAGAGAGACAGAACTAATGAGTAGGAAGTTTTTCTAAAACTCCCTTCCACTGCAAATTCTTACAACTAGGCAATTATACTTCTAGAATTTTCCCTCAAGTTAGGGAATAAGGAAAACAAGGAATTCATGAGATAGATGATTTGAAGCAGAATAGTTGAAAAACAACTAGAAATATTTGGTTTAATAAGTAAAATTCAACATTTTACCTGATTTCAATTCATTGTAATTCTGAAATATGTGGCTGGGTGCCCATAGCTCAGTGGTTAGGGCACCAGTCACATGCTTTGGGCCGGGTTTGAACCCACCAAATAAAACAAACAAACAAACAAAACAAACAAAATTCTTAAATATATAGGCAGCTGTATTTATTAAACAATTTAGTACTTATATGCAATCTTCATTCTCCTTTCTGCAGTCAGGAAATAAAGAGAACATTATGGAAACATTTTTTAATCTTCTCAGTACTAAAAAGACTGAAATGTGCTTTGAAAGTTAAGAGATTGAACACAATTTCACCTTTACGTTACTTCAAGCTTCTCTGTATAGAGAAGACCATCTCATCTTTATGTTGTACCACCATGCCAAACCACATCATATACATTGTCTCTGAAATTTTGAAACCATAACTATTAATTTGACTATTATTTATCTCAACAAATGGCCTGATTTTTAAATGCTGCCCTCTTGAAAATTTTTCTTTGAATGGGTTGAACTATTAATTCAAGTGCATCTGTGCATCTCTCTTTGTTTAAGTAAAAGGAATTAAATACAGAGAACTGTGGTTTCTGAGTGTGCTAAATCTGTCCAAGGGTCACACATATGAACCAGGCATCAGGTCAAAAGAGGATCTATACCAGCTGTGGTGGCTCATGCCTGAAATCCTAGCACTTGGGAAAAGCAGGTATGAGGACTGCTTAAGGTCAGGAGTTCAAGACCAGCCTGAGCAGTACAGCAAGGGCCCCCACCCTACCTCTCCAAAAAGAATAGAAAAATTAGCTGGGCACAGTGGTATGATCGGAGTTGTTCAGGAGGCTGAGGCAGGAGGAGGATCACTTGAGCCCAGGAGTTTGAAGTTGCAGTGAGCTATGATGATGCCACTGCACTCTAGCCTAGGCACCAGAATGAGATCATGTCTCAAAAGAAAAAAAAAGGATCTAACTGAGAACTAAAAATGACAGATTAAATTGATTTAATTGATTAAATTGATTCCTCCAAAGAGGAAGGCTGACAGCCCAGACTGGTAAAAAAATCTATGGGTGATCCTATGAATTATGAGATAATAAAACATAATGCAGTGAATAGTAGGCTGTGTCAGCAGATTCTGTGGTCAAGATTTGATGGAAATGGGACTAAATTCATCCAGATAGGCACTGAGTGAGAGACTAATGCAGTCTGAATGGAAGGAGAAAAGGAATGTATTTTATCTTTGTAAGCCTAACTTCTCGTCATGCTATGCAATCAGCCTAGCATGGGATAGGCTTGCCCTAGGTTCCTTCAAAAAGCAAAAGGTGAAGTTACACACATTCCACAACATTTACTTTCTATTATTACATAAAACAACTGGTAAAATGCAACACAACTGGAAAGGGATCCTCATAAAATTTGATTCGGCACTGGCATAAGGATAGACATATATCATTGTATTAGAATTGAGAATCCAAAAATAAACCTGCACATTCACAGTCAATTGATTTTCAACAAGGGTAACAATAAAATTAAATGGGAAAAGAATAGTTTTTTCAAAAAATTGTTCTTAGAAGAAAACATAAGCATAAATCTTTGTAACTGCATTTGGCAGAAGTTCCTAAGATATAACACCAAAAAAGAAAATATATATTAACTGCAATCATTAAATTTAAAACTGCCATACTTGAATAACACACATCAAGAAAGTGACAATACAAGCCACTGAGTGGGAAAAATATTTGGAAATCATGCATCTGATGAGGGACTTATACTTCAGATACATAAAGAATCCCTGTCATCAGAAATAAGATGACAACACAATTTAAAAAATGGGCAAAGGAGGCAGCACATGTGACTCAAAGGAGTAGGGCGCAGGCCCCATAACTGGAAGTGATGGGTTCAAACCTGGCCCCGGCAAAAAACTACAAAAAAAAGAAAAAATGGGCAAAGGATTTGAATAGACATTTCTCCAAAAAGACATACAGGTGGCTAATAAACTCATGCAAATATAAAGTCACTAGTCATTAGGGAAACACAAATCCCAACCACAACAAAGTACCACTTCCCTCCACTAGGATGGAATCTCTTGTCAATCAAAAAGATGGAAAGTAAGTGTTGGCAAGGATGTGGAGAAATTAGAGCCTACTCAATGCTAATGGGAATGCAAAATCATGCAGCCACTTTGGAAAACAGACTGGCAGCTCCTTATATGACCCAGCAATTCCACTCATAAGTATATAAGTACATCCAAGAGAAGTGAAAACACAAAAACTATACATAAAAGTTCACAGCAGCATTATCAATAATAGTAGAAAAATGGAGAACCCCAAGGTTGAACAGATAAACGAAATCTGATATATCCACACAATGGAATATTACTCAGCAATAAGAAGAAATTAAGTACTGATATATGCTAGAATACAGATGAACCTTAAAAATACTATCTAAGTGAAAGAAGCCAGATACATATTGTGGCTAGATTAATATGAAATTTTCAGAATAGCCAAAACTATGGAAACCAACTAGATTGGTGGGATTCCATAGGGCTGGGCAAGAAGGGGGAAAGCAGAGAGGTGGGTAATAGCTAAAGGATAGAGGGTTTCTCTTTACAGTGATGAAAATTGTGGTGAGAACTGCAAAACTCAGGGAATGTACTGAAAGCCACTAAATGCTATACTTTCAAATGTGTGAACTGCTTGGTCTGTTGATTATAGCTGAATGAAGCTGTTACTAAAAGAAAACTGATGCTAGTGATCTGAGCCAAGTGATGGTGCACTGCTTGGTTTTAGATTACTGGCCAGGGTTCAAATAAGAGAATCAACAGTATGCCCTTTTTTATAGAACATGATACATTAGAAAGCTATCCTTTTCATTAATATCAAGTCCATAAAATTAAAAGAAAAATCTTTATTTCTCTGGTCAATACATTGAGAGAGTGATTTTTTTGTGTATCCCCAAACTGATCAAAACTTACCTCATGTTTTAGCTTATTGATCTCAATATCCTTTTCAAATTTTCTGGTTTTTCCATCTTCATGAAAATTAAACCTTTCATTTTCATGTTCATTTAACTTTGTTGCCATTTTTAAGAGGCACTTCAGTCTGCAGAAATGTACAGAATGAGAAAGCACTGAATATTTAATAATTGTTTAAACCAACATCATGTTCTAGCATGTAAAAGAAACATATCTATAAATTATGATCCTCTTATTATTTTCAACCTAATATTGTTGGAAAACATTCTTACAAAATTATAATTTTAAGTAAATAATAACATAGAAAAATTTATTGACATATGTGGCAAAAAAGTATTGTAGTATTGTAACCATACACAGTTTTTATAAACATCCATTTCAGTATGTTAATATAAAACATGAACTTGTTAGAAGTATTAGGTATAACCCAGAGATCAATACCCATTGTAAAGAGGAAAAGCTGACTTACATATCAATGTTTGAAAAAAAGGACACAAAAATACATTTTGATAGCCATTGACCATAGTTGATAAGAGAAGAGAAAGGACACACAAAAAACATCAAGGAGACCATTCAAAGCAATAAAACAGGAAGAAAAGCATCTTTGAAGTTTGAGTCAGAAAAAGAAACAGGCAGACTTTCAGAAGAAAGGAAATGAGCACATAGATAATGTGTCAAAACTTAAAAGTCTGTTTTAAAAAGAGAGCTGGAGGGCAGTGCCTGTGGCTCAAAGGAGTAGGGTGCCAGTCCTATATGCTGGAGGTGGCAGGTTCAAACCCAGCCCTGGCCAAAAAACACAAAAAAAAGAAAGAAGAGAGCTGGAGATCTTTGCTAACACAACATTAACAAGAGAAAAGGGATGCAAAATCATGTAGAGAAAGGCAATGAGAGGAAATATATTGAATAGAATCAAACTTCAGTATTCAGTAAACAAAGAGAAAATAAGTAATGGTGGGGGCTTGAAAGCCACTGGGAAGCATATTCTGATTGTTTGCTTTTCTTAAGTCATACGTATACAGTACAGCTTCCAAAGTTGACCATTTCCCTACATTGGCCACCTTCTTAAGTTGATCAAATTTTCATAGACCAGACATGCACCACATGTACTCTATGGAAGTTCCTTATGTTGACCAGCTTGATATAGTCCCTTGGGTGGTCAACTTATAGCAGTTGTACTGTATTTGGTATGTATGACACATACATATACATATGCATATATGTACACACACAAACACACACATACATAAACACATACACATTTATTTTCAAACAAATGTAACATATTACAGTATCCCTCATGTATACATGGAAGATATACATGGAAAATGATATAATTTATAACTAAAAAAAGAAAAAGGCAGAATATGTACTAATCTAGATAACTTTGATGTTGTTTAAGGATGACATAGGTTTTTAAATACTAAAGAATTTGAATTCAGCAGGAAAGGACACTATTAAAAGAAGCAAAGGAAGATTGCCAAAGACAGTGGAAGGAATTTCAGAAATAAAAATTCAAAGGAGATGAAGAGTGCAGTTGACATTATATGCCAAAGGCATTGTTACTATTGTTTTCAAAATCATTAAAGAATAAGTATCATACTTTCACATTTAAAAAGGGTTTCAGATTGTTTTGAGTTTCTGAAATAAATTTTAAAATAGAATAATTTAATTATGAAAATACAGATACAAACTGTGTAGTTAAGCTCTAATAAAGGAAAGTAAAATTATAGTTAAATCACAATGAAAGGTTGAAATGATCTGAAATAGTAAAATCTTACCTAGTTACTCGTTTTTCTAATTTACTGTTTTTCTTCTTTTCTTGATCCAAATTATGTTGCAGCAATTTCTTTGACTCAATAAGTTTCTTTACTTCCTTTTCATTCTCAGACTTGAAAAATTAAAATAAAATTTTAAAACCTAGAAAAACTTTCTTAAAAATATTATTTTTTTCAGGAGTTTATGAGAAATATGTGTTTAGACTGGTTTATAAAACATAATTTATAAACCCAAAGCCTGTAAGGGCAGATTTCAAAAATAATGATTTTTCCTTAAAAATCTCACTTTCAGTAGTTTATCCTATTTGGGTACAGGTGAATTTGTCTAAAGGTTGAATATAAATGCCTTAACATAACAATTATGAGAAAGACATGATGGCTATATTAGCCCTTGGATCAGAGTTTTCCAAAATGCATATAGAAGTAACACACTGTATCCTATGAGAGAATTAATGTACACAATTATGATCTAATACAAAACAAATTAAAAAAAATTCACTTTCATCATTTTCTTATTTGAAGTATATATGTCAAATTTTATTTGGTAAAAACAGAAGTTTTTACATAGTAAATACTAAGTGTTAATAAAAATATTTTTTAAAGAGTCATTATTCTTACATTTTAGTTTCTCAAGAGGCCCTTGCAACCTTGCCATCAAAAGTTTTAAGATATTCCAGGTTATATCAAATTCTATTTTACTAAGGCAATTTTTGCAGAACTCCTACCTGGTTCCTATTATACTATTTTTGATCCTCACCTATGAGCTAAATACTCTTCATCCACGAATCTTGCTTTTTCCTGTTAACCATTTCTCCTCAATTAAAATTTAAGCCTCCCCTGCAGTCAACAAAATTATAATTTGTGCTTGATTCTTATGGCTTTTCTAATGCCCTGCTTCTTTCCTTCCTTTGGACAGTAATATTCTTTAATACATGACCTCATCTAGACATCTACTTTTTCATCCCTTGTCTTCTTTCATCCTAAATCTCATCTTCAATCCTATAATTCCAGTAATGAAATTCTGGGGGTCATCAAGGCCCTGTTATTTAGTCTTTAATGTGCTTTACTTCTTGGCAGGAATTCCTAGCAGTGACCACACCCTCCCCTCTGCTCCTAAGACCCTGATTCATTTCTCAATTCAGCACCCACTGATGTTGACCTCTGACCTTCGCTTTTCCTCTGTTTTAATTCTCTCAGAGCTTGCTGCTAAAAGCTCGAGGATTTGACTCAGATTCATTCCCTAATGGATATGACCTCTTGAGTGAGGGATCCTCCTTCTAGTTCACTTCTCATCAACCGTGTTCTTAACCATGTGCTCATCAACCATTTCCTGGTGCAGATTCCTTGTGTATACAGCTGCTCTTCCACAGTCTCTGTTTATTCCTGTTGCTGTTACTTTGAGTGTAGTGTTATTTTTTAATCTGGTAGGGCACTTCTCCTTAGGATGCTGGTCAGCATATTTTGTCTTTTTTTTTTTCTTTTATAGTGTAACACTTTTCCACATGGATGAGATGATCAATTGTTTGCCTCTATTTTTTTGTTGAATAATCCCCTTCACCATGAACACATGAACTTATCAAAGTTTGTTCTAAAGTTTCTTTCAGATGAACACTCAACTATCCTTTGGAGGATGGAGTCAGCTGCAGTTCTCTCTTCTTCCCAGTCCAGATTCTTTACCTCAAAATTGTGTCCATCATAATTATCTTACCCCAAGTATTCTCTGGTTCTGGAATTCAAGAGATAAGAAACTTTTGGAGAAGTTGGAGGCTATTGAGTTGGTCCAAAGAAGTCTTCAAAGCAGATAATTGCAGGCAGAATGGGGACCAAAAACCCTATTCTTGGAAAGGGAAAACACCCCCAGTAAAAGGGAAAAATCAAAAAGTAAGCTGAGGCAGAACAAAAAAAAGTTAGCTATTTTAACTTTAAACCACTACCACTAAATTTCTTATCTGAGCAAGTTTCCTGCTTTTCCTAGAGCTCTGGCCTATTGCGGATACAGCTTACTAACAGCCCCGCTGGGTCTGTGAACAATCTAAGGAAATAATGGCCACAGAAGATGCTGTGGCAAGGCCTGGAAAAATATATTAACTAGGCCATTTCCTGCCCAGTAAATAGTCAAAGCAAATACCCATTGTGGAGATGTGTATTTGGCTGGGACAGAGATCAAGGGAACAGCTGGAGCCCTAAAATATGGGTAGAAGGGCTTGTATCATTATTGCAGAGGAAGACCCTCTGTGGTGATGGTGAGAGGAAAATTCCTCTCTTCCACCAATTCTTCAGAGGAGATTAACATCAGTGGAGTTTTACTCCACAGTTAACTAGTGGAGTTTAGTAGCTCCCTAAGAATCTGTGTGTGTGACCTCAGACAGGAGGCTGCCCCCACATAAGGCTCAGGTTCTGGATTTCTCAAGACTGCTCAGACCCTTAAAGTTAATGATTATAGAAACAATAGGAGCCCATATGCTCACTCAGAGAAACTGCTGGCATCTTCGTTCCCTTCTTCAGCTTACCCTTTGGGCTAATGAGCAAATAGCCTTCAATAAAAGCTGAGTGGAAATGACCCCCGGGACCACTGTCAGAACCCCTCAAGCAGGAAGTGGTCCCCTGAGTTCCCACCTTTGAAGATTCTATTCTGTGTGTCTTGTCTCTTTCTATCTCATTGTTTCTAACTTTATATTTCTTCAGTCAGTCGCTGCCAGATCCACAGGTCTTAATGGACCCTGCCCCTGGGGCAGGACCCTGGCAGCTAATCTTTTTTTTGCCATATTTTTAACTCATTTCAATGGGAATCTATGGAAAATCTCTCTCATCATTTTTGAATAAGCATAATAGGTTGAAAATACTCTTATGAATTTTTCCAATTTTGATACCTTAATGTCTTCCTGTATGACACAGATGTAAGGGGAATCTCCTGGCACTCTTATTTACAGGAGACTTCTCATTTAGTACATTGCCACTTGTATAAATAGTATGCTGATAAAATGAAACTAATTTATATTAAGCCTAGGAAAAATAATTTTTCGATATTTTTTTGATCATGAAGACAGCCAGTCAAAACAAATGTTTTGATCTGTTCCCGATAGGTGTGTCAGTTTTATAGACTTGCAACACCTAAGTTGTGACTTAAAGAAAGTAGTTAGTAGGAGCATCTACCTTATTGCTCAGATTTCCTATTCACAATACTATCTTTTGGTCTTTATTTCTACAGACAGAAGTATGAATGACAGGAGAATCCTCTTCTGCTTGGGAAAATGCTGGTATAATGACCAACCACTCTTGATGGGAAATACAAATTACAACATGAAAAATAATTCATTCTCAAAATCTCACTGATGGGTTTAGGTTAAAAGAGAAATTCAGAATTCTAGAATTATTCCTCAAATTTCTTTTTAGAATTTGAAAATATGGTATGAAATATTATCAGGGACTCAGACAGTTGTACACTAATGTCCATAGCAGCATTATTCACAATAACCAAGAGGAAGAAACTACCCAAAGGTCCATCAATGGATGAATGCAAAAACAAAAGGTGATATATATAAAATGTTGCTTCTAGATAATCACAATCTTTATTAAAATCTTACTATGAAAATCATTAACTTTTTGACTTCAGGTGACTTCTTTCATGAAGTCAAGACTTGCACTACTAACAGAAAGTAGTATCACGATGAATACAATAAATATTTTTATCACTGAGATTTTTCATATTGTCTAAAATATGCTTATATGCAGAGAGTCCCTGACTTATGATGGTACAACTTAAAAATTTTCAGCTTTACCATGGTGTGAAATCATCAGTTTATGCATGTTTTGAATTTTGAGTTGTGAATCTTGACTTTCTCTGGGCTAGAGATATGCAGTATATGAGCTACTTATTCAACACTTCATTATAAGACAGACTTGTGTTAGAAGACTTTCTCAACTGTAGGCTAATACCAGTGTTCTGAGTCTATTTATAATAGGCTAAGCTAAGGCACAATGTTAAGTGTATGAAATGCATTTTCATTGCCCAATATTTTCAACTTATAATATGTCTATTAGGATGCAACCTCATCATTAATTCAAGGAACCTCTGTACTAGGAGTTGAGCATCCCTATTCTGAAAAATGCTACAAAAATTCTACAAAATTCTACAAAAATGCTACAAAAACTGAATGTTTCTCAGAAGAGGGATGATGCCACAAGTGGAAAATTCCACACCTAACCTGGTGTGATAGGTCACAGTGAAAACACATTCAAACTTTTGTGTCATGAACATAATTATTAAAATATGTTGTAGAAAATTACCTTCAGAGTATGTGTATAGAGTATATATGAAACATAAATGAACAGGGCACCTGAGCACAAGAAATGGAATGACTCTTCTCCAGGTTCTTTCCCGATGCTGTATTTTGGAGAACAGCCAGTTTAGAACAGTATGTTTGTACTCCTGTTTCCTGTGTATCTTTGTTCTTTTCATTCACCAGAGTAGACTTTAGCATACTGTTCTCAGCTATGAGAACATTAAGCTGGGATACAGTTTCTGTTAAAGTTTCTGCATTCAGTTGAACAGCCCTTTGGAGGTCATCATTCTTTTGTTTTTCAACTGCAATATCCTCAAAATATTTCCTTTTGTTTTCCTCATTCTGTTTTTTTATGATGTCACTTTCTAGCCTTAGCACAGTAATTTCTTCTTGCAACATGCAATTTTTATGAAACAGATCTTTGTCTTTTTCTTCACTATGAAGAGTCTAAGTAAAAACAAAGGACACTTTTAGCTAGCAGTCAATAAAATGACATATGATTTCCTCTGAAATTAAAGAATAACCTACACATTTCAATAATGAAAAGTTGCAATAAATGGAAATCCAACTGGAGGAAAAGTTGGATCAAAACCTCAAACCTTGTGCTCACTTCGGCAGCAGATATACTAAAATTGGAACAATATGAAGATTAGCATGGCCCCTGTGTAAGGATGACACACAAATTCATAAAGCATTCCATATTTTTAGCCAAGCAACCCATGAGTGAAGTGGGGAGCCGGGTGATATTGTGTGATGGCGGCAGTGGCACCCTGGTCACCCTAAGGTGTAAATAAACTTGGACAAAGAAACAAAAACTAGGAAGTGTGGGTATTGTGGACTCCAGTTCAAACAGCACCATCACTAGAGTGAGTCACGTTCCATAGGCCTCAGAGTGTGTGTGCGTGGACATGTCAGTGTGAAAACAGTTTCTGGACAAGGGTGTCCTGGTTTTGAATAAAGAGGGTCACTGTGAAAAACAAAAAAACCCTCAAACCACATAATAGTGTAAATTTCCAAAAGCTCAAAAATTTATTTGATAACAAAACTCAAACCACTGGAGAAGTCTTTAAGAATCTCAGAATTTGAAAAACCATTCCTTGAATTACAACAATCCTAAGGCATAAAATAAAAGATTCATAAATTTGACTACATTAAAACTGTGGGTTTACATTCGCACATCATACCGCATGGTAACAGCCTTAGTTATGCAGATACTTTGACAGGTTAAATTTCCCAAAAGTCCTTAAGTTCCTTTTCCTTGAGAACATTCTACTTTGGTAACATTTTTATAGGCAGTTATAAGAATTATACTGACAAATTATAAAAGTAGGCATTTCTATATAACATCAATGAATTCATTTCACTATCACAACTCTGAAAAGGACAGTTTAAAAATATAAGCAAGCTGCAAGACTGTCCCAACGTCTTCTGAGTCTTCTTTTTAGTGCTTCTCCACCAAATCACAGTTACTTCTGTGGTGTTAAAGTATAAATACAAAAGAAGCCTCTTGTTGCAAAATACCAATGGTAAATAAGACAAAATTTATAGAACTCTTAGCTGAGTACCTGTGGCACTGTGGTTATGACACCAGCTACATACACTGAGGCTGGAGGGTTTGAACCTGGCCTGGGCCAACTAAACAACAATGCAACTGCAACAAAAAAAATAGCTAGGCATTGTGGTGGGTGCCTGTAGTCCCAGCTACTAGGGAGGGTGAGGCAAGAGAATCACTTAAGCCTAAGAGTTGGAGGTTGCTGTGAGCTGTGATGTCACAGCACTCTATCAAGGGTGCCATAGTGAGACTCAAAAGAAAAAAAATTTTTATATAACTCTTATTAGACAATCATGAAATGATTTGCCATTACAGCTAACTTTTCTTTCCTCTTCATAATGTTTAAAACAGTAGCACATGTGAAATAGGGAAAAATAAACTTAACTATTTTTCTAGGGACAAACAATTATCAATAAATTCTAATTAAGAGAGAATAATGTGAGGCTCGGTACCTGTAGCACAGACACATACACCCGAGACTGACAGGTTTGAAACCAGCCCAGGCCAGCTAAACAATGACAACTGCAATCAAAAAACAGCTGGGAGGGTGGAACCTGTGGCTCAAAGGAGTAGGGCCCCAGCCCCATATGCCAGAGGTGACGGGTTTAAACCCAGCCCCAGCCAAAAAACTGTAAAAAAAAAAAAAAAGCTGGTAGTTGTGGCAGGTGCCTGTAGTCCCAGCTATTTGGGAAGCTGAGGCAAGAGAATCACTTAAGCCCGAGTTTGAGGTTTCTGTGAGCTGTGACGCTACAGAACTCTACCGAGGACGATATAGTGAGACACTGTCTCCAAAAACAAAAAAGAAAGAGAGAGAGAGAGAGAGAGAATAATGTGGCATATTACTGTTTTCAAAAGCTTTTTGAACTAAAGATACTACTTGGACACCAGGAGGTATATAGAGCTATAAAAGTCATAGTTCATTTAAGATGAGATAGCATTTTTGGTTAGCTTTAGACCTAAATAGTAAATGTTAGATCAAAGGAATATTTTAAGTAATATAGATGAAAAAAACTTAGAAATATGAAAATTTTTACCAGATTAATTTACCTCATCCAAATTCTTTTTTACAGTCCTCAATTCCATATCTTGTGTTTTCAGTGTCTGTTCAGGTTGTTTCACTTCAACTTCTTTCCTGTACTGTGCTTCTTTTCTTCTTAACTCTTCTTTAGTTCTTTCATAAAGCATATCAGCATTTCTTCTTTTTTCTTCTTCTTGTTTTAGGGTAAATCTGTAATTAAATATGCTTATCTTACAATCTGTTTTGTTAGGAAATTAGAAGTTCATTTTGTGACCTGTCTCATCACGTATTAGTTTCTTATCTTAACAACATTTTTATGTTCTTGCATATTTTTCCTTCCTTGTTCTCAGGTCTTTACCTCTTCACTTCAATCTCTTCCAAAGGACATACATATTTGAAAGGTAGCAATGAAAGAATATTATGCTAACTGATAAGTTTCTATACTAGTAACTGTAGTAAATACTAAGGAAAAGGATATTGGAAAAAATTCACTAAAGTTACAAGTTGAAAATTACCTTTTCCCCCAAACAGTTGAAATTACTCAATTAAAATAGACCAGTTAGGGTTAAGTAAATAAAGTTACTGTTTGTAAACAAGTTAAAAATCTACAAGAATTAAATTTTCATTTCCATAAAATATTGCAGATGTCCTTAAAAATGATTTATAATAAAGGTAGCACCTTCAGTGTCTTCTATATAACATATATTTGCAGTTTAACACAATCCAATACCAACCTAAGGAATTTCATATCTGTTTCTCTCACTTTTAGTGTGTCTTTATTTCACTTTCAACTTCTCTTATTGATTATGCATATCATAAACAATTTTAAGATATCCTTCAGAATAAGACAGGATCTAATATTTTAATTAAACAATGAAGCAAAATATGCATTTTCAACACAGAACTTTAGATTTTTATCTGTGTATAAGAGTGATGTGTTGAATTGGAAATGACTTTCCATTTTAATTTTTATTCCATGTATATTAAGAATAAAACTACATAAATTTTTTAAAAAATGATTCTGAGTTGAAAGAAATAACTATTTCATACTCTGTTGGTTGAATTGTAAATTAATATAAACTTTCTTGAGAACAGTTTATAAGTATGGATAAAAGATCTTTTTTAAAACCAGTCCTATAGTTTAGCACAATTATTCTATATTGAAGAATTTACTCAAAGAATATAATTAGAAATATATGAAAATGATTTATATGTTCCTTTCAGCATTAATTATGATACAAACAACGTAAAAACTCACAATAAAATTTGTTAAGTAATGAAATTTTCAAGTGGTAGACTTCCATATACCCATATAGCTAGGAAAATTATCATTTAAAAGAACATGTGCTTAATCATCAGAGTATTCATAGTTAAGAATTTGCTGTTATTTCCAAGATTTTCACACAACTCTGAAAAAAGTTTAAAAAGCTAGCCTACTATTAATAGGCTCAGAAAACATTTAGTAGCCTATAGTTGGGTAAAATCTTCTAACACAGGTCTATCTATAAAGAAGTATAGAATATCTCATATACCACATATCTCTAGCCTGGGAAAAGGTCAAGATTCAAAATTCAAACTATGTCAAAACTGTGATGGTTTTGCACCATTGTAAAGATTAAAGATTTTTCCCCTGTTAAATCTCAGAATGTAAGTTAGTAACCACAAAAACTCTTCTACATGTCTGTACTATAAATAGTTCAAGCATTTCTTTAAAACTAGCATGTCATACCTCAAACTGCAGAATTTTTGTTCCCATTCAGCTTCTTTAAGTTCTAACTCTGATTTTGTTTCTTTTAGTTCAGATATCTCCCATAGTAGTACAGAAATAAGATTTTTCATTTTTTTACAATGATTATGTTTGAGTTCTATAAATCTTTTACATGAATGAAATGCATCTTGAATTTTCAACTGGGTAACATAATCTGTATCAGGGAGAAAACAAAGTAGAAAACATTACACTTAGCTCTGCACATAAACAAAAGACCTCTGCTCTTTTTTAGCTAAAGGGAAGTAAAGAACAAAGACAAAAAAAAAAAAAAGACAGATATATATTCACACAGACACTGTAAGAAAACAGAATTCCAGTACTGTATGAGAGAATCGAATCTATAGTGGGCCCAGGGAAGAGCTCTTGATGGCTGTACTGAGAAATGGAGGATGAGAAGGAAGTAGCTAAGCAAAGGAAAGAATTCTAGTTAGTCTACAGCACGTGCTAAAGCTTCAGTGCAATTTTCTTCTAGCCAAGATAGAATAACAGGTGCTGATTTACCTTCTTACAAACAACAAAACTCAAAACAGATAAAGTACATTAAAAAATGATTCTCAAGACAGAGGACTTCAGGCAATGAAGACCATGATCGCTCAAAGTCAGAGAACAAATAAAGGAAGTCTTAGGAATGCCTAGCTCCCTGCCTTGAGAGAGTTTCCAGCCCATGACTCAGGGGAGAAAGACTGAGGTAGAGTCTACTAGACTCCCCAGGTTGGGGTGATGAAGCTGAGAGCACAGTAAAACCAAGGCAGACAGAAATCACAAGACAGAACATGGGAGAGGAGAGAACAGCACAGGGGAAGAACCATGGAAATCTGCGAAGATCCCCTTTTGGGTATTTCATGTGGTAGACTTCCATGTACCCATATAGCTAGCTCATGGGTCCTAGGAAACTACCTGAGATCAAGGGGAAAAAAATCCTAAAACTTTAGAGGAAACTGTCTGGTGCTCATATGGTGCCAAAAACAGTGTCCATTCCTAAAAGACATACTTCACAGGACTATGAACAATCAGAAAGTTCTTATCTCTGGAGAGTAGAATTAGTCCAAATCATAAATCAAGACAGGAAAGGATGAAGCTGTTAATAAGTCACTCAACTGTATCCCACAGTGAAGCTCAAGCAGGTAAGTAAAGGCATGGAAGATGCCATTTAAAAACCAAATTGTACTTGGAGAGATGCAAATTATAATTTCAGAGATGAAAACTACACTGGATGGAAGGAGCACAGATTGCACAACACAAAAGAAAAGATTCACAAATTTGAGACATCAGTGAACTATGGGAAAACTTTGAGCAGCTAATATACTGTTAAGTATAAGAAGGAAGAAGGGAGACAGCAAAAAAAAAAAATGAAGAAAATATGCTCAA